GGAGGAAGGGGTGTCTGTTCGTGTGTTCATGTGTAAATTTGTATGCGTGTTATAATCTGTGTGTGTGTGTTAATCTGTATGCGTGTGTTAATGAGTGTGTTTGTGTGTGTGTGTGTGTGTGTGTGTGTTGTCATATTTGCTATACACAACTCCACAACTCCACAAAGAAAAGCATGACTGTGTCCCACTGTTTCGTCGGACTTCACCGCCTCATCAGGGGGTGGAGTGTGTGTGTGTGTGTGTGTGTGTGTGTGTGTGTGTACCTGTTGTCCCGCCTGTAGGTCCAAACAGTGCCGTTCAGTTTTTTTTTTTTTTTTTTTTCAACTTTTCAAGTCTCGAGCCACGCAAGTCACAGCAGTCCGCACTCGGCTGACTCGTGTGCTTACCTGCGGTATGTATCACGCCAGACACCTGCGGGAGCGGAAAACGTACGAAGTCCCAGGGGGATCGTACTTTATGATTCAATCAGCACGTAGAATTTAATAGTTCGCATTCATCACTCCACAGCTCTCTTCAATTTCACTGGCTTCACCGTGCAGTTATCATTAGCTGCAAAGAACTCTCGCACTATCGACGCCAACAACCCGACACCCTTCCCACAGTGCCATCTCTCTTCTCCACCCTATACGCCGACCAGCCCGCCCCCCTCCCCCCTTCTCTCTCTCTCTCTCTCTCTCTCTCTCTCGCTCGCTCGCTCGTTTGTCCCTGCGTCCTTACTTGTCTTTCGGCGTCCCTACTTGTCATTCGAAGCCGTCGATTGACTACCGGTAGTGCTTCGAAGCCGTCGATTGGCGCCGCTTGAACGGTCGACGGCGACACGTCAGACAAACAGTGGGGTGCCAGCGATGTCATGCTGAAGGACGCCCCTCTCCATGCAGGGGGAATCTTCGAGTTATGTGGATGGATGAACCTCAACCGACAGAAACTGACAAACAACATAAGACATGACAGAGCCGAGAGTCACGTAGCAGGCGTGCACATGTACGATCGTCTACCAGTAGTACAGCAATCGCTAACGAACGGTGGCTCAATCCAAGAACAAGAAATAAGGGCCTCGCCTCACTACTTCATTCAAATGTGAAAAAGACAAAAATGTGGCGGGCGCATCTGGCCGTGTTCTAGGAGGAAGTTCACTCTCGTTTTGCACATTTCGAGAGTGGTGTGGCCATGTCCTAAAACGAAATGGTTCTCCGAAAAAAAAAAAAAAAAAGGAAAAAAAACAAGAAAATACCTGCCTGTGGTGAGAACAACAAATATAATAGATTAGCAAAGCTCTCTCGCCTCAGCGTTGCGGGGAGGAATGGTCCCATTAGAAAAGAGGATTAGATATAATTCGGAAATCTGGACGTGTTTGGCGGACAGATGCAGAAACGCTGATCAATCTCGATTTTCCGCATCTTTCCACAAACATGTCCAGATTCAGGAATTAAATCCAATCCTCTTTGCTAATGGAACCAGGCCCCAGGACTCACTTGCTGATCATTCATTTGCCAAGTCACGTTACGAACAAATCAGAAAAAGGGTAGTTATTAAAAAAATAACAAAAAAAAAACACAAAATGAAAAAAACAAGGGTAGTTGCCATGTTGGTTCTCAAGACTGAGGACATATATAAGCAGAACTTCCCTAATTGCATCTGACTGCAATACGGCCAGATGCTTAGTAAAAAAAGTCCTGGTATGAGTATGCCCTGAGATCTTCGGCGACGCGTCTCGTTCCCACTTTTCTCCCTGTGAGTTCCCTTTCACTGGCTGTGCGGCAGATCCACTGCCGATAACCACAGCGTGTCGTACGAAGACCAAAAATGCAGAGCAGAGCGGCCTACGGCATTTTTCCCGCGCTACGCCCAAAAATGCTAAGACCGAAAAAGAAAAACGATTCTTTCTTTTTTTCTTTTTTTTTGGTAAAAAAATCATCCTTCCCCCTTCCCCCCTTTTACAGATATACGTATAATTAGTTAGAGGTAAGCGTGCATCTTCCCCAGAAAGTGGCCTGATGCATCCGTTACTATCCGTAGTAATGGAATGGATGCATCTGGCGGCTTCCTGAGAGAACATGCTGTCATACTTTTTTCGTTTCCACCGTGGTGTGGCGAGGCCCTATATCCTCCCGCGCCGATTTGCACTATGGAGAGCTGTCCATCCCAACTGGGTGCCACGTACCTTGAGCGGACAGAAAGCGATGAAGAAATGCTGGGTCGGCCAAATGCTACCACGCGTAGGATGTGTGAAAGGAATTGGTGGGGGCTCCTGTGCCTCCTGTGGGTACTGTACCCTCTACACGCTGTGCCAGACCGATTCAGCCGTTTAGCCGTCTGACTCACCAACCCCCCGGCACAGCTCGCCTGATCGCCAGCGGTGAATCTTCCCCTAGAACATGGAAAGATGCACATCATTTTTGTCTTTTGTGCGTGTCGAGAGCAGCGGAGCGAGGCCCAATGTGCCGTCCTTTATCCGAAGGGCATAGGGCTTCCCCACACCACGGCCGAAAAGGCCATTTTCGGGAGCGTAGCGTGGCCGCATTCAGGGCATATTCATACTGGGGGGGTTGAGGCAGGTTTCGGGTCACATAGGAGAGGCCTGCTACCCAAATGCTCTTTTTGGGGACCCTTTTGTCAGCGGCCTGCCACCCAGGTTGTTGCAGAGGTTGGATTTCTAGAAATCTGAGGGGTGCCTTCGGCACTTGGCCATGTGGTATTCCTATGGAACTTCCCTTCCAACCTACCACTTTTGTCGTTTCTACTCCCACGGTCCTACCTTATCCACAAAGGGCCATCACCTTATATGACGCGCAGAACCTCACGCCCTGTGCTGTCTTTCATTCGGAGTGTTAGGCGTGCGGAAAGAGGCCCAGAAAAACAGCAAGATGGGGTGTGCCAAGGATTTTTGGAAATTGAGTGTGGGGACACAGATGGAACTGAAATCCCCCGTGTTGGTCCAATGAAGCAAGTCGATTGCTTTCATGCGTCGCGGAATGCGCGCGCGGGCACGGCGCGAAAAGAGAAAAATCCAAATTCAATCCAAAAAGTATTGTCGGGCTTCCCACCGGGCTACAGCCCGTCGTTTAGAACGGAAAGGCTTTGGC